ACCAGGAACATAAGGATTCCATGGCGATATCTCTGGCGCGATGACAATCAAAGCAGCATCTAGTGGACATTGGGGAATGTGGAAACCAAAGAAGCTGTAAGGAAAAGGGTCCTGTATGAAAAAGACATCCTCTCCAGGTGCTGATCTTGCTGAACTGACTTTGGGGAAAAAGAAAGGGAAAAAGAAGACAGAAGTGTCCATATTGCAGTTAAAAATACATACCACTGTCAACATGCAGGAGAAACCCTATAAATGCCTGGAGTGTGGAAAGAGCTTCAAACACAAACAAAGTCTGCAGCCACATCGAAGGACTCACACTGGGGAGAAACCCTACACATGCCTGGAGTGTGGAAAGAGTTTCACTTTTAGACATATTCTGCAGCGACATGAAAGGATTCACACTGGTGAGAAACCCTATAAATGCCTGGAATGTGGAAAGAGCTTCGCTCAGAGTGGAAGTCTACATAAACACCAACAAACTCACACTGGGGAGAAACCCTATAAATGCCTGGAGTGTGGAAAGAGCTTCACTCGGCATGGGAGTCTGCGGTCTCACCACAGAACTCACACTGGAGAGAAACCCTATAAATGCCTGGAATGTGGTAAGAACTTCACCGAGAGTGGACATCTACATTCACATCAAAGGACTCACACTGGGGGGAAACCCTATAAGTGCCTGGAGTGTGGAAAGTGTTTCAGTTGGGAGTGTTCTCTGCAGCGACATGAAAGGATTCACACTGGGGACAAACCCTATAAATGCCTGGAATGTGGAAAGAGCTTCACTCAGAGTGGAAGTCTACATAAACACCATCGAACTCACACTGGAGAGAAACCCTATAAATGCCTGGTGTGTGGAAAGAGCTTCGCTCTGCATGAGCATCTGCGGTCTCACCACAGAACTCACACTGGGGAGAAACCCTATAAATGTCTGGAATGTGGTAAGAACTTCACCCAACGTGGACAACTACATTCACATCGAAGGACTCACACTGGGGAGAAACCCTATACATGTCTAGAGTGTGGAAAGAGCTTCAAACACAGTCGAAGTCTGCAGTCACATCGAAGGACTCACACTGGGGAGAAACCCTATACATGCCTAGAGTGTGGAAAGAGCTTCAAACACCATCGAAGTTTGCAGTCACATCGATGGACTCACACTGGGGAGAAACCCTATACATGCCTGGAATGTGGCCGGAGCTTCACTCGGAGGGAACACCTGCAGCAACATGAAAGGACTCACACTGGGGAGAAACCGTATAAATGCCTGGAGTGTGGAAAGAGCTTCATTGGCAGTGGAGAACTAAGTTCACATCAACGAACTCACACTGGAGAGAAACCCTATGAATGCCTGGAGTGTGGAAAGAGTTTCACTTGGAGGAATAGTCTGCAGCGACATGAAAGGATTCACACTGGTGAGAAACCCTATAAATGCCTGGAATGTGGAAAGAGCTTCACTGATAGTGGAAGTCTACATAACCACCAACGAACTCACACTGGGGAGAAACCCTATAAATGCCTGGAGTGTGGAAAGAGCTTCGCTAAGCGTGAGGGTCTCCAGTCTCACCACAGAACCCACACTGGGGAGAAACCCTATAAATGTCTGGAGTGTGGTAAGAACTTCACCCAGAGTGGAAGTCTATATTCACATCAAAGTACTCACACTGGGGGGGAACCCTATGAATGCCTGGAATGTGGAAAGAGCTTCAGTGAGAGTGGAAGTCTACATAACCGCCATCGAACTCACACTGGAGACAAACCCTATAAATGCCTGGAGTGTGGAAAGAGCTTCTTTGAAAGTGGAAATCTTCAAAAACATAATAGAACCCACACTGGGATGCCTTGAGTGTGGAAAGCGTTTCACTTGGAGGGGTCATCTGCAGCTACGTGAAACTCACATTCTAGTAAAATGATGCCAAGAGAGACTCTCTAAGATGTACAAAGGCAACTCTAACAAATGTAAATGACAGCATAATGTTGGGAATTTTATTATGTTGTGATCTTGCAGAAAAGCCCAGAAATATTGGGTTCAAATAGATAAATGTAGAAAAATGGGAGGAACTTAGGAAGAATAGCTTACAATTTACAAGAAGTTACTCTGTTAAAGAAAAGTTTTACAAAAGGATCACAGGTGGGAAGGAGCTCGGGCCCCAAATTCGGTAAGGGAGGTCTCAGGAGAGAGAAGTTACAATTTATTATTTATTATCCTTAATGGTGCCACCAATTTGGTGATGTGAGGTAATTTTGGGAGATTGGGCACACTAAACGCAGAATTAATGGAGATGAGGCAGTTTTAAAATCAAAGAGAACAAGTTTATTTTGAAACAAAGCGTATGGTTGCAGTTTGGTGATAAACTTGGAAAATACTTGGAGAACGTTACATATAACTTGGTTGCGATACAGTTCAGACTTCTGATGTTACAACTTATAAATAACCTTTGCTGTGGTGAAGCACTTTATTAAACAATGGTTCCTGAGGTGAATAGTCTTCCTGTTTGACCCTTCCGTGATCAAACCTCAGATCTCTAGTTCACTTTTAACTAGTGATCTAAACGAGCTTCTATCAGTCTTCTCTGACTAATAAAACTAATAAGGTTTCCCCTTCAGCCTTCCCGAACTGAAGAAACCTCCGACTATTCACAAACACTGCTCCTCTACTTCCCACTCTCTCTCTCTCTCAACTCTTCACTTCCCTGAGCCTAAAACTAACTCTTCATTCCTCTGAGCCTCAACCCTGACTCTTCATGACTGTGCACTCTTCTGAGCCTAAACCCTAACTCTTCATGACTCTTCACTCCTCTGAGCCTAAACCTAACTCTTTAACTGTCGCCTTTTCAAAAACTCCCTCTCTAAGCTCCTCCCACTTCTCTTCAGCATCGTTTCCATGGTAACACACTCCTTACAGCTAGGCCGCTCCAGCATTAGGGCAACCAGTGTAAACACAAATACAGTTATAATAATATCATTTACAATCAATACAGTTTATAATCATATCATTTACAATCAACTTCTGTACAACAGTCATACATTACTTGAGAAAAAATGATAGAAGATAAATTAAAAAATTGAATTTATGCTGGAAATATAAAGAAATGACTGGAATCTTTTATCCTATGTGGTGAACTTGCCGAAAAGCTAAAGCCTTCTAGATAAAAGTGCATATTTTATTGAAACCAAAAAAAACCCCTAGGTAATACTGAAACCAGAACCCTTTTTATTGGAAATTTTAGACAAGCAAATCCCAAATCACCAGGAAAGAATCTTCTTCTACATGAAGATTCTTTCATGAGGAGTTACGGATGGATGGAAGTTTTTCAAGAGTGAAATACTCAAGGCGCAATTGCAAACAATGCCAAGAAAGAGAAAAAATAGGACATGTGCAAAGAAGCCAGAATGGATTTCCAAAGAACTTCTAACTGTGCTCAGACTCAAAAGAGACATGCGCAAGAAGTGGAAAAAGGGAGAAATCACCAAAGAAGAATTCAAACAGATCGCCAACTCCGGTAGGGAAAAGGTTTGCAGGGCTAAAGCACACAATGAGCTCAGGCTTGCCAGGGACATTAAAAAAAATAAAAAGGGCTTCTGTTCTTATGTCAGTACAAAAAAGGAAGAACAAGGAGGTGATAGGGCCTCTTTGAGAATAAGATGGGGCAATGCTGACGGGATAGGGAAAAGGCAGAACTACTTAGTGCCTTCTTTGCCTCGGTCTTCTCGCAAAAAGAAAGTCAATGGGATTTTGGCCAGCATCATTAGGAGCCTAGTGTCCAGATCCAGGGAAGTCATGCTCCCCATGCTCTATTCTGCCTTGGTTAGACCACACTTGGAATACTGTGTCCAATTCTGGGCACCACAATTGAAGGGAGATGTTGACAAGCTGGAATGTGTCCAGAGGAGGGTGACTAAAATGAGCAAGGGTCTGGAGAACAAGCCCTATGAGGAGCGGCTTAAAGAGCTGGGCATGTTTAGCCTGAAGAAGAGAAGGCTGAGAGGAGACATGATAACCATGTATAAATATGTGAGAGGAAGCCACAGGGTGGAGGGAGCAATCTTGTTTTCTGCTTCCATGGAGACTAGGACGCAATGGAACATTGGCTTCAAACTACAAGAGAGGAGATTCCATCTGAACACGAGGAAGAACTTCCTGACTGTGAGAGCCGTTCAGCAGTGGAACTCTCTGCCCTGGAGTGTGGTGGAGGCTCCTTCTTTGGAAGCTTTTAAACAGAGGCTGGGTGGCCATCTGTCAGGGGTGATTTGAATGGAATATTCCTGCTTCTTGGCAGAATGGGGTTGGATGGGATGGCCCAGGAGGTCTCTTCCAACTTTGATTCTATGATAGCTGTCTTGAGTCTATTCAGGGAAATGGAGGCGGGGCATAAAAGTAAGAAGCCTGATCTTGAAACTGCTAAGTCATTAAATGCTAATCAAGGTGGCCAACTGAAACATTCACACCTAGCTCCAACAGACAAGAGTTCTTTCTCCCACCCTGGGCATTCTACAGATATATAAACCCCATTTTCCTAGTTTCCAAGAGACCTCGCAACCTCTGAGGATGCCTGCCCCCGTCCATCCTTCATGGACTCCACTCTCCTTTGTTTGTTTGTTTATTTATGACCTTGATATGTCTTCTCACCTCGAAGGGGACTCAGAGCGGCTTGTTGTTGTTCATTCATTCAGTCGCTTCCGACTCTTCGTGACCTCATGGACCAGCCCACGCCAGAGCTCCCTGTTGGCCGTCACCACCCCCAGCTCCTTCAAGGTCAATCCAGTCACTTCAAGGATGCCATCCATCCTTCTTGCCCTTGGTCGGCCCCTCTTCCTCTTTTCCTTCCATTTCCCCCAGCATCATTGCCTTCTCAATATCTTGTTCATTCGTTCAGTCATCTCCGACTCTTCGTGACCTCATGGACCAGCCTACGCCAGAGCTCCCTGTCGGCCGTTACCACCCCCAGCTCCCTCAAGGTCAGTCCAGTCACTTCAAGGATGCCATCCATCCATCTTGCCCTTGGTTGGCCCCTCTTTCTTTTGCCTTCCACTTTCCCCAGCATAATTGTCTTCTCTAGGCTTTCCTGTCTCCTCATGATGTGGCCAAAGTACTTCAACTTTGTCTCTAGTATCTTTCCCTCCAGTGAGCAGTCGGGCTTTATTTCCTGGAGGATGGACTGGTTGGATCTTCTCGCAGTCCAAGGCACTCTCAGCACTTTCCTCCAGCACCACAGCTCAAAAGCATCGATCTTCCTTCGCTCAGCCTTCCCTAAGGTCCAGCTCTCACATCCGTAGGTGACTACAGGGAATACCATGGCTTTGACTAGGCGGATCTTTGTTGCCAGTCTGATGTCTCTACTCTTTACTATTTTATCGAGATTGGACATTGCTCTCCTCCCAAGAAGTAAGCGTCTTCTGATTTCCTGGCTACAGTCTGCATCTGCAGTAATCTTTGCACCTAGAAAGACAAAGTCTGTCACGGCCTCCACGGTTTCTCCCTCTATTTTCCAGTTGTCAATCATTCTTGTTGCCATAATCTTGGTTTTTTTGACGTTTAGCTGCAACCCGGCTTTTGCGCTTTCTTCTTTCACCTTGATTAGAAGGCTCCTCAGCTCCTCCTCGCTTTCGGCCATCAGAGTGGTGTCATCTGCATATCTGAGGTTGTTAATGTTTCTTCCAGCAATTTTCACCCCAGCTTTGCATTCATCCAGCCCCGCACATCGCATGATGTGTTCTGCATACAAGTTAAAAAGGTTGGGTGAGAGGATGCAGCCTTGCCGTACGCCTTTCCCAATCTTGAACCAGTCTGTTGTTCCTTGGTCAGTTCTGACTGTTGCTACTTGGTCCTTGTACAGATTCCTCAGGAGAGAGACAAGGTGGCTTGGTATGCCCATCCCACCAAGAACTTGCCACAATTTATTATGATCCACACAGTCAAGGCTTTAGAATAGTCAATGAAGCAGAAGTAGATGTTTTTCTGAAACTCCCTGCCTTTCTCCATTATCCAGCGGATATTGGCAATTTGGTCTCTCGTTCCTCTACCTTTTCTAAACCCAGCTTGAACATCTGGCAACTCTCGCTCCATGTATATGTATATACATATATATACATATACATATACATATACATATACATATACATATACATGTATATGTATGTCTCAATATCTAGACATACAATATATTTATTATTATTAGCATAGTACAATATCAGTATTATATATTACTATATTTTACTGTACCATTATATTGTATTATCAGTAATATTACATATAATATAAAATATGTAATTATATCTTATTATTAGTAATATATTCTATTACATTATAATGTTATAAATATTATATGTATATACAATATATTATATTACATTACATTATATTATATTATTGGCATAGCACAGGAGACAAGATGTCCCCGTCCCCGTCCCCCCCCTTCATTCTGGCCCAGAGTGACACTTGCTGCTGGGGGGAGGGGTCCCAACTTTACTATTCCTGACCATGGGATCATACTCTGATTTTGCCTAAATTTACTGAAGACAGCTTCTTGAAGTCTAGGATGCAATCAAAGGTATTTTACCATCGCTCAAATATTCAAATATGCCCACATTTGAACACTGGTGGAGTTTGGGGAAAACGGACTTTGACATTAGGGAATTGTAGTTCCTGGGATTTATAAAAAGGTAAAGGTAGTCCCCTGACATTAAGTCCAGTCATGTCTGACTCTGGGGTGTGGTGCTCATCTCCATTTCTAAGCCGAAGAGCCAGCGTTGTCCATAGACACCTCCAAGGTCATGTGGCCGGCATGACTGCATGGAGCGCCGTTACCTTCCCGCTGGAGCGGTACCTATTGATCTACTCACATTTGCATGTTTTCGAACTGCTAGGTTGGCAGAAGCTAGGGCTGACAGCGGAAGCTCACACCGCTCCCCGGAATCGAACCTGCGACCTTTTGATCAACAAGCTCAGCAGCTCAGTGCTTTAACCCACTGCGCCACCGGGGGCTCCCCTGGGATTTATAGTTCACCTGTAATCAAAGAGCCCCTCGAACCCCACTAACGATAGAACTGGGCCAAACTTCCCACACAGAACCCCCATGAGCAACAGAAAATACTGGAGGGATTTGGGAGGAATTCACAGTGATTTTCATGTGCCCTCCTTTCAATGAGTGTGTTTTTATACTATGATAATGGCCTTCATCTCTGGATGAAGGAGGATCATGAACTCCTGGGTTATTAATGTGTTGTTCCCCATTTATCAAGGGGTACTGTGCTTTTGATACTTCAATAAAATTGTTTGGCCCTTTATTAAAGGGTCGGTTTGTTCTTCCCACCCCCGGGACCTCAGCTTGCTAGTCTCCACATTTGTGCATTCACAGAGACCATGAAGAAAAATGGTACATATCTGTGACTGTCTTTCTTCGAGTGGTGCTCTGTGAATTCACACAAACCCACCCAGCCTCCCCTCTAACAAACCTCTGCCTTTCTCGCTACCTTGCGGCGTAGGAACTACTGAGTGTGCGTCCGGGGCGCCTTTTATGCCCTGCCGGGGAAAAGTTTAAACTAGGAACATTTCCGTTGGTGCCTGCGCAGGCACAGACACTCCACATGTGTGAATGCACAGAGCACCATTCGAAGAAAGATGGTCACAGGTATGTAACCTACCATTAATTTCTGCAGCTGGGCCAGATGCCGAGCTGTTCTCAAGCTCCAAATCATGGGAATTCTCTGGTAGCGATTCAGGGAGCACGCCATCTTCCCCGTAACCTTCAGGGACATTCTCATGAGAAAACACACTTCAAACAAGGTTTGTTGCTTGTTGTTCATTCGTTCAGTCATTTCCGACTCTTCGTGACTTCATGAACCAGTCTATGCCATAGCTCCCTGTTGGTCGTCACCACCCCCAGCTCCTTCAAGGTCATTCCAGTCACTTCAAGGATGCCATCCATCCCTCTTGCCCTTGGTCGGCCCCTCTTCCTTTTGCCTTCCTTTTCCCCCAACATCATTGTCTTCTCTAAGCTTTCCTTTCCTTTTCTTTCATTCCTTTTGATTACTGCAAACATTTCTCCCTCCCTATATGGAAATGCCCTGTTTCTCTAGATCCTTGAGATGTTGGAAATTTCCCCTGAACAGAAGCAAAGGAGAAGAGGGATGACTGGGCTGAGGAGAACAAGCTGGGAAGGAGGGAAGGAAGGAAGGAAGGAAGGAAGGAAGGAAGGAAGGAAGGAAGGAAGGAAGGAAGGAAGGAAGGAAGGAAGGAGGCTTTCCTGCCTTGGCATCCCATCCTGGGCACAACGGAGGGAGGGAAAGGCAGAGAGGGGAATTGGTTCAGCAGAGACAAATGTTGTGAATACCTCAATATGTTTAAATCTGGATCCGAAGTATCCAGATCGGAGGCGGATTCCTGGCTGAATGGAGTATTCGTTTGGGAAGACCAGGAAATTTGGTAGCAGCAAAATTTTGTGAAGAGAAAGGAGGGAACTGAGTTTTTTGGCTTCATGTCTAATCTTTTGCTTTTTCTTTCTTAACCAGGAACATGGCGATATCTCTGGTGTGATAACAATCAAAGCAGTATTCAGTGGACATTGGGGAATGTGGAAACCAAAGAAGCTGTAAGGAAAAGTGTCCTATATGAAAAAGATATCCTCTCAAGGTGCTGATCTTGCTGAACTGACTTTGGGGAAAAAGAAAGGGAAAAAGAAGACAGAAGTGTCCATGTTGCAGTTAAAAATACACACTACTGTCAACATGCAGGAGAAACCCTATAAATGCCTAGAGTGTGGAAAGAGCTTCAACCACAATCAAAGATTGCAGTCACATCAAAGGACTCACACTGGGGAGAAACCCTATACATGCCTAGAATGTGGACAGAGCTTCACTCGGAGGGACCAGCTGCAGCGACATGAAAGGACTCACACTGGGGCGAAACCCTATCAATGCCTGGAGTGTGGAAAGAGTTTTACTTTGAGACATCATCTGCAGCAACATATAAGGATTCACACTGAGGAGAAACCCTATACATGCCTGGAGTGTGGAAAGAACTTCACTCAGAGTGGATATCTGCGTTCACATCAACGAACTCACACTGGGGAGAGACCCTATGAATGCCTGGATTGTGGACAGAACTTCACTCAGAGTTCACACCTACGTAGACATCAACAAACTCACAATGTGGAGAAACCTTGTACATGCATAGATTGTGGAAAGAGCTTCGCTGACAGTGGAAGTTTACATTTACATCGAAGGACTCACACTGGAGAGAAACCCTATACATGCCTGGAGTGTGGCCAGAGCTTCACTCAGAATTCACACCTACATACCCACAAACGAACGCACACCGGTGAGAAACCCTATAAATGCCTGGAGTGTGGAAAAAGCTTCACTGATAGTGGAAATTTACATAAACACCAACAAACTCACACCGGGGAGAAACCCTATGAATGCCTGGAGTGTGGAAAGAGATTCATTTTGAGATGTCATCTGCAGCGACATGAAAGGATTCACACTGGTGAGAAACCCTATGAATGCCTGGAGTGTGGAAAGAGCTTCACTGATAGTGGAAGTCTTCGTAACCACCAACGAACTCACACTGGGGAGAAACCCTATAAATGTCTGGAATGTGGAAAGACCTTCACCCAGAGTGGACATCTACATTCACATCAAAAAACTCACACTGGGGAGAAACCCTATAAATGCCTGGAGTGTGGAAAGAGTTTCAGTTGGGAGCATTCTCTGCAGCGACATGAAAGGGTTCACACTGGGGAGAAACCCTTTCAATTCCTGGAGTGTGGAAAGAACTTCATTGGCAGTGGAGACCTACGTAAACACCAACAAACTCATACTGGGGAGAAACTCTATAAATGCCTGGAGTGTGGAAAGAGCTTCACCGACAGTGCAAATCTTCAAAAACATAATAGAACGCGCACTGGGATGCCTTGAGTGTGGAAAGAGTTTCACTCGGAGCGGGCATCTGCAGCCACGTGCATCTCACATTCTAGTAAATGGATGCCAAGGGAGACTCTCTAAGTACAAAGGCAACTCGAACTAATGTAAATGACAGCATCATGTTGGGAATTTTATCTCTTTTGGTGATCTTGCAGGGAAGTCGGATCTGGCCACGGTGGTCCACGCTCTTGTTACATCCCGATTAGATTACTGCAACGCACTCTACATGGGGTTGCCTTTGAAGACTGTTCGGAAACTCCAACTAGTCCAGCGAGAGGCAGCCAGGCTGCTCACCGGAGCGTCATACAGGAAGCATACCACCCCCCTGTTGTGTCAGCTCCACTGGCTGCCAATCCAATTCCGAGCACAATTCAAAGTGCTGGTTTTGACCTACAAAACCCTATACGGTTCCAGCCCAGTGTATCTGTCCGAACGGATCTCCCTCTACATCCCACCTCGGAGTCTAAGATCTGGGGAGGCCCTGCTCTCGACCCCGTCTCTATCACATGTGAGATTGACGGGGACGAAGAGCAGGGCCTTCTCGGTGGTGGCCCCTCACCTGTGGAATTCACTCCCCGGGGAAATTAGATCAGCGACATCCCTCCTTTCCTTTAGGAAAAAATTGAAAACTTGGATTTGGGACCAGGCATTCGGACATTCTGGCAGCTAAAGAAAGGACTTGACAATGGGCAGGAATTGACTAAATGGAATGGAATTATGGAACGCTGAACATGAGATTAGTTGTACTGATTGTGTTATGTACTGATTATTTTAACTTGCTAATTGTTTTAGCTGCTGTTTTGTATGTATGTATATCTTGTGTAGGCATCGAATCGTGCCTTTTTGTAAGCCGCCCTGAGTCTCCCCCCCCCCCCCCGGGGGGGTTGAGAAGGGTGGGGTAGAAGTACCCGAAAAAAAGAAGAAAGAAGAAGAAAGAAAAGCCCAGAAATATTGGGCTCAAATAGATAAGTGAGAAGGACGGGGGTATAAATATAGGAAATAAAGAAGTGTAGAGGAATGGGAGGAACTTTGGAAGAATAGATTCCAATTTACAAGAAGTTACTATTTTTTTTACAAAATGATCCACAGATGCTACAGAACTCCAGAAAAATCCTGAAAGATAAATTAAATAATTAAATTTATGCTGGAGATGTTAAATAAATGACTGGAACCTTTTATCATATGTGCTGAACTTGCCCAAAGGCTAAAGCCTTCTAGATAAACATGCACACCAATATTGAAAACAATATAATAAAGCCCCAAATAATACTGAAGCCAGAACCTTTTTTTTTTTGGGGGGGGGGGGGGGAATTTAGACACGCTATTTTAGACAAGATTCTGTAGTCACGTAAAGAATCTTCCAGTACATGACTACAGCAGCCGGAATTGAATATTCAAAATTATGGATAAAACAAAGAACACCAACACCAGAGGAATGAATTACTTTTTTTTAAATGGCTGAAATGACAAATTAACTTTAATTCTACAAAAAAAATGATACCCAAAAACTGCAATAGAATGTGTGAACTAAAAGTGTTATGAGATAATACATTTGTATAAACTATATAACTTGTATATCTAAGAGCAAAAAAAGTTTTTGAAAATTGATCACTGCTGTTCACAGCTGACCTCTAGCTAGAGCACTCAGGGGACAGGGCTTCCCAGTTCTCCCTGTCTATTCCAGAGTTTTTAAGGTTAGCTTTATTTCATCTTTAAATCTCTTTTCCTGTCCACCACCATTCCATTTTCCGTTCTTGACTTAGGAGTATTGTAACTGCTTTGGGATATGGTGATAGGGTATTCAGACAATGTGGCCAGTCCAGGGGAGTTGATGATTGAGGAGCATCGCTTCAATGCTGGTGGTCTTTGCGTCTTCCAGCACGCTAACGTTTGTCCATCTGTCTTCCCAAGAGATTTGCGGGATTTTTCGGAGACAATGTTGATGGAATCATTTCAGGAGTTGAGTGTGACGTCTATAGAGAGTCCATGTTTCACAAGTGTATAGCAGGATTGGGAGGACAATAGCATCATAAACAAGCACCTTGGTCTCCGTATGGATGTCCTGGTCTTCAAACACTTTCTGCTTCATTCAGAAAAATGCTTCACTCGCAGAGCTCAGGCGGTGTTGGACTTCGGTGTCAATGTTGACTTCTGTGGAGGAGGCTGCCAAGCTAGTGGAAATTGTCAACATTTTCTTATGTTACATTGTTAAGCTGTATTTCCAGCATTGGAGAGGGATTAACTGGTGACTGTTGGAAGACCACTTTGGTTTTCTTGATGTTCAATGACAGGCCGAGTTTCTCTTATATACTTCTGCAAAGGTGTTTAGAGTGGCTTGTAGGTCATCGGCATATTTGAGTTCTATAGCAGATGTTGTGACCTTAGTTTTGGTTTTCGGTCTGCGGAGGTTAAACAGCTTGCCATTAGTCTGATAGATGTTTTCCACTCTGGTGGGAAGCTTCCCGTCAACAAGATGAAGTATCATAGTGCTGAAGATGGAAAATGAGGTTGGGGCAATAACACATCCCTGTTGGACACCGGATTCCACCTTAAATGGGTCACTTTGGGAGCCACTCCTGCCCAAGACTGTTGCCATCATTTCATCAGCGAGGAGCCACAGGATGTTCACAAATTTGTCAGGGTGTCTGATTTTTTGGAGGATGGTCGAGAGAGCGCTGCGATTCTCTGTCTTGAATGCCTTTGCAAGGTCAATGAATGCCATGCACAGAGGTTGGTTTTGCTCCCTGCATGTTTCTCGGAGCTGTCGTGCAGTGAAGATCATGTCCATGGTTCCTCTGGAGTGGCGGAAGCTGTTCTGGGATCCCGGGAGGGTGTCTTCAGAGAGGGGGAGAAGGCCTTTGCAAGCATTCCTGCGAGGATTTTCCAGCAGAGGTTCGGGTTAGGTCAAATTCCGGTCAGACTCTTGTGTTAAACTCCCCCAGGAGGATGATTTTGCCTTCCTTAGCTATCTCTGATGGGATGGTGTCCAGCTGACAGTCAAACTTTTTGGAGAGTTGAGAGGCCATGCCAGTGGATGCTTTGGGCAGGTGCTTCACCAGGTCTTTTCTGATAGCAAAGCCCACTCTGTGTATTCTTCGTTCTTCTTCAGGCTGGCCCTTCCAGAAGAAGGTGTAGCCACCAACTCAGTGGAAAAGTGGGGGTGACCAAGGGAATCCCAACAGACTTTGAGGATGCCACCATCATCGCCCTCTTCAAAAAGGGGGAGAGAACAGACTGTGCAGACTATCGAGGTCTCTCCCTTCTAACCTCCTCTGGGAAAATCCTCGCAGGAATCCTTACAAACCGCCTTCTCCCACCTCTCAGAAGACACCCTCCCAGGATCCCAGAACGGCTTCCGCCCCTCCAGAGGAACCATGGACATGATCTTCCCTGCACGACAGCTCCAAGAAACAGGCAGGGAGCAAAATCAACCTCTGTACCTGGCATTCATTAACCTTGCAAAGGCGTTCGACACAGTGAATCGCAGCGCTCTCTGGACCATCCTCCAAAACATCAGACACCCTGACAAATGTGTGAACATCCTGAGGCTCCTCCATGATGACAAGATGGCAACAGTGTAACATTGGGAGATACCTCTCCACCAAAGTCAACACTGACACTGAAATTCAACACCGCCTGAGCTCTGTGAGTGCAGCATTTTTCCAAATGAAGCAGAGAGTGTTTGAGGACCGGGACATCCATAGGGAGACCAAGGGGCTTGTTGATAAAGCTATTGTCCTCTCAACCCCGTTATACACCTGTGAACGTGGACTGTCTACAGATGTCACACTCAACTCCTGGAATGATTCCATCAGCGCTGCCTCCGGAAAATTCTGCAAATCTTTTGGGAAGAAGACAGGCGGGGAAATGTCAACGTGCTGGAAGAAGCAAAGACCACCAGCACTGAAGCGATGGTCCTCCGCCATCAACTCCGCTGGACCGGCCATGTTGTCCGGATGCTTTTCCTGAAGGAGAAGATATTTTCCCTGAGGTAAAGCTTGCTCCCAGTGGCCTTTTGTCATTTTAAAAAACATCATTTTTATTAATTATACAGTAAAGAAATATACAAAGAAAGAAGCCATACACTGTCAACATAAAAACACCAAGTACAGGAAAGCAATAATGTAACGCCTTCAGCCTTGTCTTCTCACTTATGAATTGTGTCACATGCTAATCCTAATCGAAACGTTTCCTGTGTGTGTGTGTGTGTGTGTACCCTAACCCCCCCCCCCCCCATGTCCTGAGAGATACATGGGACGTCATTCCATTTCTGCTGGAAAAAGGGCCCCTCCTCCAAGGGCCCCCGTTTCCAGAGGGGCAGCCCCATGGACCTTTTAAAAGGTCCCAGCATCTGTCTCGGCCCTCCTCCCACTTCCACCTTTGCCCTCGGCTTCATTCAGAAGCTGCAAAGGGAGCTCAAAGGGCCAAGATCCTCATCGCCTCAGAGACTAGAGATCGGAGGAGGGGGAGGGAGCGCTCTGCCTGACCCCAAATACGGGGAAGCCCCTCCCTCCCTCCCAAATCCTCCGGACTCTTGGCTGCTCTGTGCTGCGAGGAGGGCAGGGCAACCACAACTGGTCTTGGGACGCTACCATGGGACCATGGGAAGGTGTGCCATCGCAAGAGGCCCCTGTTCCACGGCACCCCCAGGCCCCCACCTCCTCCAAGGCCCACCCTTCACCCTCTGCTTCTGGATCACATTTCCAGCCACCTTGAAAGGGTCCCTGTTTCTCTCCCGATCCCCCTTCGTTGATGGCCTTCCAGCCTTGATGGGGATTGTGGTCCAAAAGACTAACTCTCCCATTGGATCAGAGACTCAAGGGCTGCCATTGTGGATGGCCTTCAGGGTCCCTTCCCAGTCATGGCATCGCAACCCTCAGGTGGACCTCTCTCGGGGGGGGGGGGGGGGGCAGCAAGGATGTACCAAAGGGGGCAGCCCTGGCCTTCCTCTGAGGTTGAGACCCACATCTGTTTTCAAATATTTGTGGGGTGGGGGGTTCAAGAGCTCTTGCCCGGCCGGATTACGGAGGTGTTGAGAACGCCCACCCCCCTTCCAAATTAATTGGGCTAACCAAGGATTTCACTGGGCTGGCCTCCCTGGCAGGGTTTGTGTGGGTGGAGAAGGGCCAAGGCTCTTAATTCTGGGCCTGGCCTCCCTGGCAGGGTTGTTGTGTGGGTGGAGAAGGATCAAGACTGTTATTTCTGGGCCTGGCCTACCTGGCAGGGTTTTTGTAGGGTGAAGAAGGGTCAAGGCTCTTGCCCACTGGAACCCCAGAGGCGGCCAGGAGGGGGGCAGAGCCCCATCCCCAGAGATTCCCAGCTGATGAAGAGAGCCACCTTTCTTGTCCTCCTATCCTTGTTTATTTATTGACTGGATCTGTATCCCACCTTTCTCAACCCACAGGCTACTCAAGCCAGTTTACAGGGCAGAATCCAATGCCCACAATATGTATGTATGTATTATGACATTTATATGCCGACCTTTTCAGCCCGAAGGGGACTCAGAGAGGCTTACAAGTAAAAAGTAAATACAACATATTATATTATTATCATAGCACAATATTAATATTACATTGTATTACAACATTATACTGTAATATTATTAGTAATAGTACATTTAATATAAAATATATAATTATAATATCTTATTATTAGTAGTAGTATATTGTATTACATTAATTGTATACCATAAATACAATTAAAAACATGTACATATAATAATATCAACCCAGACGGTGGCTGTAAAGTTCCCCGACTTCCTTCCTCCCCTTTCGAACCCTCTTATTTATTGGCGGCTCCCAAGAGAGTGAGACCGGAGGAGCCTCTCTCTTGTGGACAGTGACAACTGTTATGAAGAACTGGGTTGGTGTAAGTTTTTCGG